GAGGTTTTGTACTTTTCTGTTGCATTTTCTCTTTTTCCAAGAGAATGTTAATTTTCCGGTACCTCTTGCATGAACACGGAAAGAACACGTCGTACCAGGCTCACAAATTTTAACTTAAGTAAAATACTTACTTAAGTAAGTTTAATTGAATTTCCACAGCGTCAACAGAAGAGTTTGGGCAGCTGTAATCGAGTTCACTTTGTAAAATCTCTTCAATAATGGTAATTCGATCAAATGTGAAAGAGGTCTGGTCAAGAAGTGTGCTCCGCGTGAATTTCAAGAGGCAGATACCGCAGCTGATTATATCATCTTGTTTCGGATGATTTGTATCTGTCAATACTTCAAAAGTTTCAAAAAAGTTCCAGTGTCCCTTAATGATTGTGACGGCTGAAAGATAGCACTTAATCTTCTTAGCTTCTAGTTTGCATTCATTTTGGTGATCTGGCAAAGGGTCATATATTTTAATTTGCTTGCTGATTTTGTCGACTATGGCAATGACCCAGTGCTTGGTATCGGGTGCATAAACTCTGTTTATTGGTATCAATAAATAATCCAATATAGTTAAATCAATGTTCCGTCTATGGGACTTTCACAAGGATATCAATTGTGGCGTCTTTTGCTTCTACGATATTAGAAAGGCTCGGGAAGAAATTTGTATCGTACATTTCGACACTAAAGCCTTGAATTTAATTAAATAAAGATATGCCAGTAAAAGAGAATCATTTAGTTCGCCCGGAGTGAATATGAGTCATTCATTGTGGGATATTCTAAGGTCTCTTCCGTATATCGGCAATGATTTTACTTGACTCACTTTATTGTCTTTGTTCTTTACATCAAGAGCTTCGTATACAGAGATCTGTAATTTGTTTCTTTCCTCATGAACAGAGATTTTTGAATCGGAGATGAAATGGTGTCTTGCAGCTCGATGCGTCTAGAGCTTATGGAATTGTTTTCGTCAATATGCTGCCCATTCTCTTTATCAAGAGAAATATCATTGCAGTCATCTGTTTTATTCTTGACTTTGAAATTAGGGTTGGGTTGAGCTGAAATAACGGTCTTGTGGAAATCAATGTTTGTAGAGCTATCACGTGAATGAATATCGTGAATCTCCTGTCCGTTGTTCTCATCAAAAACGATACTACTAGAAATGGGCTTTTCACTTTTAGTGTTAGCACTGTGTTATAATATTTAATTATTTTGAATTCACAGTTCGTTTAGTCTTCCTTCCTTATTCATAATGGTGTTTATCTAAGTAAGTAGCTTATCGTAAATTACTTAATGTTACTTATTGTTTGATGTAAAATGTTTTCTGTTATGCAAATCATTTAATGTAAATTAGTTTCGTATTGAGCAATCCCAGCCGAATGGACCAATCCCAGCAACAGGAAAGACAAACATGACGCTAATATTTAAACTGGTACATACTTTAAGCGAACGGGAGAGTGAACCGGAAACRCTGATCGTCGCAGTGCTAGAAACTCATTCTAGACGTGTAAACCTATTTGMCAGAGGGTAAGGTGAATGAAAACGTGTATGTTTTACAAGAACCTAAAGATTAGAAAGATTTAGAGGTCAAAGAATCTAAACAACGTGTTCAAGCAGAGACTAACCGACAGAAAGACGACAAGTCAAAGTCAAAGAAGTCCAAGAACGCGTAACTTGAAGTGAAAGACGACAGAGTGACGATAAGAGCGTACAAAGGTACCAAGTATAGTGAATACAGGAGTCTGGCAAGTAAATCAAACACTGTTTAAAAGCCTTGGGATTGATTGAACTGTGCACTAAGGACAATAGAACAAACCAACAAAATTTGTAAGAAAAAAAATCTCATGTAAAAAATATTCTATTTAGAATTAGTCGCTTGAGATATCTAGTTATATAAGTTGATTAGTCGCTTGAAATATGTAGTTAAATAAGTCGAATAATCCTCTTAAAGGGCAACTGCCCCCCCAAAATTGACCGTTTTTAGAAGAAATTATAAGCAATTGAGAACACAAAAATGATATTTTGACGAACATGCGAGCGGTTTTGATCAAGTTTTTTATCGTCGAAACTCAAATTTTTGGACGTTCATTAGCCGCCATATTGCCACTTGAGYGTGGGCTCAGGAAAATACTAATAAAACAAAAAGCAGAAAATCTCACTTGACGAATATAACATTTCTTGATAAATGTCATGCTTTATTTTATAAAGGTGCAAGTGTGGCGAAGTATGTTAAGTGATGGACAGGATCGAGGAGTGCGTCTGTTGCCAAGAAATTGCTGCTACTCGGGACATGTGTTCAAGTCTTGCCATCGAAGGTMCACAATATAACAACGTACGCCCACCAAATTGTATAACACAACATCCAGGATTTGCCGCTGTATGTTTAAATAGGTGGGTTCTGTGAACAGCGTGGCATCAGTATAAACAACAATATACACAATYATATGAAGGACCCGAACATAAACAATTTAGGCATATTGCGTATCGCCAACTAGCCAGATGGTGTTGGGGCTTCTTRGGCAAAGAGATTCGAGTCGTGCTTCCAGCGTGTGCGGTAATGTGTATTAGGGCGCATTTCACTCCTCCAGTACTTGAGGAACATTTTGAATTTGAGGGATTTCACTTCGCCGACGATTAGGGACATCGATAAAATAATCTTATGTGTAAATATAACTCTCTTGTTACCCTGATGTTGTGTAAGCACAAAGTTCATGCTCTTGCGAACAATTATCCATTGTTACTACATGCAGATTAATCTCAAAACAATATTGTTACAATTTTGTCAATGAAACTCATAATCATGTATGACATTAAATTTAATCAAACAATATTTAATTGTGTTTATCATACCAATGTGTTTGTGGTTATTTTTGTCTTACTGGAAATATAAAACATATTTATTGATGAATAAAAGAGCAGAAGCAAAGTGAAGTGCATGAACATTGTCAAGGCTTTAAATATATATTATTACTTTTTATAGTGAAATATAAAAGAAAGCATCAATTTCTGCAGTCTCCATTCCACCCTCACACAACTGGAGAACTTTCACTTGCAGCTGTGTTAAAAAAGCATAGCTTTTCTTCTCTTTCACAGGTTTTACAACCCAACGTTTGTGAGTCTTTGGAAAGCTCTTGCGGTAGCGTTGCTCTCCGCTCCTTGGCCCTTTCTGGATGACAGCCTGTTGTCTCTCAGCATTATGGTTGTTATCTAGTGCAGCCAGTTGAGTGCGTGCAACCATGCCATTGTATGAGAAGTGCTCTCTCTTTGGGCAGTACTTGAGGATTAAGGAATGACATACCTCCAGACCCCCTGTATGGCAAAATTCTGTCTACTTAGCCAAGTCATTAAGGAGCTTGGGTTGAAGAACAACCTCCTCCAGGGCAACATGGGCTGGCGAACCTGGCTTCAACCAGCACTTGCTGCGAACTTCCCTGCGATTCAAGCAAGGATGATCACACTTCTTGAATAACTCTGCATCCCTCTAGGAATGTTTGTTGACTATATGATGCAGGACAGATTTCCATTTTTCTCTGAGGAGTTCAGAGTCCCCCTGGCATGTTGCAGCACACCACCAAAGATGGTTAGATACTGACTGTATCCAAGGAGCAAGTTCTTGGTACTTCTTCAGTTTTGCCTTCTTGTTTAGCTTTTTGACTACAGATTTAGATAAATGCCATACATCATACTGATGTTTAATATGACTGAAATCTGTAGCCATAGTGCTGGTGATGCCAGTGTGACGGTCGGTTGTGATCCTTTTTATATTGACAGATTCCTCCAATGTGTTGACGCAACGCACAAAGCCCTCCTTCTCCATGGCATTAGAGCTAGTTACCTCAGTGCATTGTACAATATTAAAGATAGSAATCTTTCCTGTGTCATTTTTCATCATGGTGTATGTGCCATACTTGGCATTGTGCCCAGGGCTGTCACAACGACCATCACCATTTAGGTTAATGACATCCAGGTTAGAGAGCTGTTCAAGTACATATGATTCTGACTTCCATGCATCATTTACCACTGGAAAGAGATAGCGGTTTTGGTGCTAGGGGTACTAGGTTCTCTTCAGCAATGCCACTAGTACTAGGGTTGGAAAGCTGTTCCAAAATCTTCAGACAAAAAATAAAAACAGTTGAACATTACAATAATTTAGCAATTTGTTCAGTGTATATATGTTATGTAATGATGTATGAATACAAGAGATTTTTATAACGATCAGAATTAATTCAATACGAGTCAATATGTGCATTAGATATAGGGCGTTGTACAAAGGGTAATTGTACTGATCTAATGTACTGGTAAGTATAGTTAGGAAAAAGAAAAACTCTTACAACTATTTGCCAATTCAACTTAACTGTAATGATTTAGAAATAACCCRATAAAACCCCCGAAAATACGTCCGCAAATCAACAATATCGAAGAAGTAATTTAGCCTTTCACATGTCACGTTAGCACTTCATTCACGCGCCGATCATGATCACGAAAAGATCAATGTTTCGTGTCACCGAGAAAATATATGTAGCCCCTGTTCGATTAATCAAAATTACATTAATGAGGAAATCTAAAAAGAACGCTTGTTAGTGAAGCTGTAAATTAAAGAAMAGAAATCACTTCAATATATCAAAGTAGAAGTAAGTCCTATATAGCCGATTATAACATGGGTGTAAAACATTCCGTGACCTTAGCTTAGAGACTATATAAAATGAAACRTATAGCTTATTTGCCACAAAAAATAGTATCATCATCATCTTGTTTCCCGCTAGGCACATGTCTGGCCTTGGGGCGCTCCTGATGGGGGTAGACTAACGTCCATCAGTCGCATGAGTTCTGTTTTTGACATCATCGCTCGTCTGGCTTGAGTCCTGTCAACACTTAGCAGTTTTTCAATTYTGAGCCAGATTTTGTTTGGTGTCCTGGTGTCGAATAGGATTTGTTTCTGTATTGCCCAGTTACCGAGTCTGCAGACATGTCCAAGATATTTAATATGTTGTCGTTGGCAGAAGGTGCRGATAGGGAGAGTCTTTGTRATTTCCCTAAGTTTAGCATTTGAGATTTTAAATCTCCAGACAATAATGGTTAAATTTCATTGTTTTGTTACTTGTTTTGGTTTTTTCGTTGATTTGCATTATAATTCACCTAGATAATGGAATATCGAAGAGTTCTCACCTCTTGGTCTTGTTTACGTTTGAGTCTATTTTCAGAAATAGCTCTTCGTTTGGATTCCTTRGAAAAGTTAAATATGGATGGAACGGCATCTCTTTTAAGTCTTCGCTTTCTTTTCTGACCCATAAGCTGCTCCATTAGATTAACTTCAAAGCAGGAATCTTCAAAGTGTTCGCTACAAACATAGCAATTTTTGAGCGGAGGAAGGTTCGCTCGCTTWATGTGACCAATCCATGCTTTCTGGAGAGCTTGATCACTGGGAATTTTATGATAGCTGACAGATTCAGTCTTGGACGAGTGATTGGTGCACTCTGGCACACAGCAATGAACCATTTTCAACTTTTGTCTCAGTTTAAAAGAACGCGTAACAATAAAAACTCCTTCGCATAACTACAGATTACTACAGTATGGCACGCGAAGTAGTCACGCGAATAACTGGCTTCACGAYGTGACGTCATGTAATAACTGCGCATGCTTCAAAATGGCGCCTGCCTTTCGCTCTGTAGTTGCACGTTTAATATTTCTTTTCAGGGTCAGAGATAACACATCCAATCTAAAAATTACATTTTCGTGATCCACGATAGTTCTACTTTTCTTCTAAAAACGGTCAATTTTGGGGGGCAGTTGCCCTTTAAAGGACCAATTTTCATTAAATGGTATATTGTTAAAATATCTAGTTATGTACAACGAATGTTCATCCTGAAGGACACGTTTAAGTTCCAGTATTATCAGTATT